GGATCTTGTTCGATGACTTGGTACAGGTAAAGGGGAAGAGGAAGCGAAGAGAGTGTGGTAGATAATTTGCAAGGGAATTCGAGGGTGAAGCCCAGGAGAATTAGTCTTCTCTAGGCCTAACCCCTGAGTTCTCATACGGACTCTTGACCACATTTTCACATTCTGCTAACACATTCGGCCGTCATCACTGGGTACTTTCAAAGTGCAACGACGTGCGTTGTTCTAACCGACGACCGACTGACTGACCTGACTGACCAGCAACGCGGTCGGTCGGTCCTCGGATGGAACAACGCTTGTCGCTGATCATTGAAAATACCTCTGGAGGGTTCATGTGAGGTTCTGATCAAATCTGATTCATGTGATCCTTTCCTCTATTTTTCTTCTGCATTTATTACTATCTATTTATCGTTTGCAACGATTCCATCCAATCCAGTGAAATTCTTCTTCCCACTAGTGCATTATCTTTTAACTTCTCCCCGTTTTCTTCAGCATTTCAACATGTCGTTGTAGTCTCTAGTAATTTGCCTGTGCGTTTTCTTCTGTTCTTTCCCTTTTGTTTATTCATATTTCTTTTTCTTGGACTATCTTTTTTTCTGTAGGAATCCTCTTCGTTTAGTCGTTTTACTTGTTCATCATACTGTTCTCATAAGTTATATTGATTAGCCTTTTTGCCTTTCAATTCCACCTTCCCTAATCTCCTGTACTCATTGTATCTCCTTTCCTTCGATTTTATCTGACTGAACTCACTGCCGGGAGATCTGACGAGTCCTGTATTGAACAGTTCACGGTAGAGGTGCTACAAATGACATTAGGAAGCCAATGTGGTCCTAAAGCGGCGTCTATGATTCATGGACAGTCAAGCTTACACCAATGGAAACAGACAAATGGATGGGCAGTTGGGAAGGCATGCCGGGAGATATGCAGGCAGAGGGGTGTAGAGAGACGGGTAGGGAGAGACAGAAAAGGTATAGACAAGGAGGGAAGCAGACAGGTTGGGAGGCGAGACGATACGGGCAGATACAGGCAGGAGGGAACACAGATGGAGGTGGACGGTCTGATGGAAGGGTGGGCGTGGATGGGCGTTGGCAGACGTGAGGTGCCGGGCGCGGATAGATGCGGAAGGATGGGGGAGGGTGGGCGGATAGGTACAGGAGGAGGAGGGTAGGCTCGAATGCAAGAGGAGGGGGAGAGCTGGACCAGGCGGGCATACTGCACTGTGTAAGTTGGACACAGATATACGCCCGCGTGTCACTCCTAGTAGTCCTTCCCCACCTGCTTTCCCGCTTCGTACCTCCCCCCATCCCTATGCATCTCTCCATCCATCCCCTCCCTTTCTCCCGTACCTGCCTATCACCCCCACCTGTGTCTGTAACACGCGTCCCCCTCCTCCTCCGTATCTGCCCTCCGCCACCCTTGTCCAACCACGCCTCCATGTGTCCATGTCAAACTGCCATGCATTCTGCCCGCTTCCCTCCTTGTCTGTCCCCGTTCTATCTCTCCATGCCCGTCTCTCTACACACCTCTGCCTGCATATCTCCCGGCCCGCCTTCCCGTCTGACCCTCCACTTGTCTGTCTCCACCACTGTAAGCGTAACTGTCCATGAATCAAAAACGCCACTTCGGGACCACATTGGCTTCTAATGTCATTCGTAGCTCCTCTACCGTGAACTGTTCAATACAGGAGTCACTAGATTCCCCGACAGGGAGGTTAACCGGAGGAAATGAAAAGAAAGGAAATTACTGAGTAAAGGATATAAAGAGAAGAGAAGGTCAAAGAGGAAATGAAAAAAAAANAAAAAAAAAGAAAACACAAAAAGATGAATTAGTAGGGATGAATAACAAGATGAACAAGTAAAAAGACTTAAGTCTTCCAAGGAAGATAATTAAAGAAAGACTGAGAAGAATAGACAAAAAGAAAAGAACAGAAGAAAACAAAAAAGAGAAACTTCTAGAGAGTAACAAGTACAAAGACATGAAAATCTGTGGGAAGCGTAGAGATGACTTTTGAAAGAAGGTGCGATCATGGGAAAAATTTACTGGATTAGATGGAATCGTTGCAAATGATGAATAGATAGTAATATATACAAAAGACGAAGCAAAATAGAAGAAAGGTTTGCATGAATCAGATATCATCAGCACCCAATACTAACCCTCCCAGAGGGTGCTTTAAGAGTTCAACGAAGTGCGTTGTTCCACCCGACGACCGGCCGTGTTGCTGGTCAATCGGTCGGTCAGTCGATCAGTCGTAGGTTAAACAGCGCTCATCGTTGAACTCTGAAAGCACCCGGTGATGGGGGTCAGAGGTCAGAATATGACTGCGAGGTAAAGAATTGGTATGAGAACTCAGGGGTTAGACTGAGAGGAGACTGTTCCTCTCGAGCTTCACCCTCCTATTCTCCTAACAACTCCCCATTCTTTCCGAATTCATCAGAGCTTAATTCGAACCTGTCCGCGATGGTAGCCAAATGTTTTGGAAGAATGTGACTGGGTGGTAGAGAGTTCGTAAGAGCACTCGAGGGTTAGGCCGAGAGAAGGCTATTTCTCTCGGACATACCCATCGAGTTCCCTTACAAACTCTCTACCACACTCATTCCTCTTCCCCTTCCCTTGACTCATACCAAGTCAACCTACAAGGAACCTGATTTAATAAGACATTTCCTACATTCTAACACTTCACAAACCAACGGAAGTTATAACTCTCTCTCCACCCACTCGCTCATATCCCCTTCCTTTTCCTCTCTCCCTCCTTGCCCCTCCCCCGCTCCCCTCTCCCAAGCTGGCATTTTGGGCATCCCGTCTCTATTTTCGACTACTGCCCTATAAAATGAGATACAATTAGATGAAGGCAAATCAAATCAAGAGTAGAAGAAGAAATGAGACAGAACAACAACTGGTTAGTCCTATTCATGAGTCCTGTATTGACCGAAACGAGTAGAGCTGTCACCATGACATCAGAAGCATCCATTTTTCATCCCAAGCAGCTAATTTGATTTGCTTTGACCCTGGACAGCAAAGCCTACACAGTAAAATGGAAACAGACAGGAAGGGCAGAGGGGATGACGTACCGACAGGCACACAGGCAGAGGGGTAGATAGACGGACACAGAAAGACAGACAGGCACAGACGTAGACGGAACGCAGACAGATATACAGGCAGACGACACGGACACATACAAGCAGATGGACACAGACAGACGGACGGACAGATACACAAGGGTGGACAGGGACGGACAGCACACAGACGGGCGGACACAGACAGANTGGACGGACAGACACCCAAGGAGGGGGACAGGCACGTACAAAGGGAATCGACGCGGACAGACGCGGACAAACACACACAAAGGACGTAGCATGCAAAAACACAGACGACATATACACGGACAGACAGGACAAAAGAACCTGGCGATCGGCCGCTCCTCTCATCAGCAGCTCCCATCACACGATCCTGGACCACGATCGCCCATACGGATCTGGAATAAACAAAAATTAGGTAAGATGGAAGCACAAAAGCCAAAAGCCTTCTTTCTACCTGTGGTCCTATTCTCGTATACTTGGTGGACCGCCAAGTTCCCAGCCAGCCGGCTGGGTCTTGTTATCGATCCACTACTCTACCGCACACCTTAAATCCAACTGATTATTCAAATATTGCGTTGTATTCTGAAAAAAAATAATATGAAAAGTTAATTACCTGTGGGTAGTGAGGTGTGCAATCGTAGACAGTTCCCCAAGTTGGTAATCGCCAAAACCCGTGTTTGGCGTCTTAAGTTTAACTGAAAATGGTAAGATAAGTCTCTACAATGGAAATGTGTGGAAATGCTTATGTATGGAAAGCTTGAAGCAACGAGTTGTTGTGTAAAAAAAACAAGCTAGAATTAGATACAAAGTAATGAGTGGTAGCGAGGACAGAACAGTGGGGTGGGCGACTTTAATACACCTACAAATCATTCGTAGGCGACTTTCTTGAAAATAGCATAAACCCGTCCAAGACCTCTGGGGAAATCACTGCAGCAACGACCGTTAATAACAACCAGATACAAAAGAGTTTTTTGTATAAAAAACGAAGCAGAAGCGAAAGAGAACAGGCGGTGGCCCAAGCAGTGTCAAAGAATCATAAGGATGGGCGGTCTGATGGGCGGTCTTATTGGGTGATTTGAGATCGTGACCTCCAATCGTCAACTTGATCATTACATTATTTAGCACGATTATGATTTTTTTAAACATTTAAGCAGTGAGAAATGGCTTGAGGAGGAGAAGTTACAGTATGCATAATCAAGAAGCTTCGATACCAATTGTTAATTATCCAAAGTTATGGTAGAGTTGGCCCCAGGGGTGACTTGGGTGGCCGATTGATCAGGTGGAAGATTCCGGAACCGAGACTGCCATGGTGCATGCGGCATACGAGGTGCATATTGAACCAAAGGTGCTGTCAGGAATCGAACCTGACTCGCCTGTGTAAAAGTCCCTACCATTACACCATTTCTAACGGGGGATCAGAATTGTACGAGCGTTTATGACGACGTTGTCGCCTTGTTGCCTCAAACCCACTAGGAGGCTGATAATACACATGAGAGCAGAACGATTCACTATCAAACCTCGAATTTATTAGTGCCTCCTACAGCTGTGGGACACTGGAGGTTCCACAGGTTGGTAATGGAATCCTAAACCCAGGGTCTTTATCACTAGACGAGCTGCTGTCCGTGCGACAAGATTGAGAGAGCTTTGGAACCCTTCCAAGTTTTCTTCCGTCAGTTGATTGCTTCAATAAGCTTGACTTTTGCAAAATTCGATATTGTTATGTACTTAAACATTACAGTGCGCCTCAGACCGCTACGCTATCTCCAAGACTTAGTATTGAGAAAGCAGAAGGCAAACTCACACACGCATCACGTTCCTCCCTTCTTGCTTCATTTTTGTCCTCTGCCTACTCGGTTCGCCTCTTTTTCTCATTACTATCCGAGTTTGACTGCATGTTTCAGCTCTAGCCGAGAGTTATAGCAGACTATGGGTGAATTGAACTCGAGCCTTTGTCAACTAAATTGGCTCATTTCCAAAAAGGGTGAAGCTGTGAATGAGGTCTGTTGTGATACGATTTAGAATAGAGGGCATGTAACCATCATCTATTCCAGTCGCCAAGCATTCCTGAGCCACCAAAGCCAAGGGTTGTTCGGGATGACGATAAACCACCGTACTCCTATACTCAGCTAATTCGGATGGCAATAGAGAATACACCGGGTAAAAAGTAGGTTTCCAAAATTTCATAAAACCTTTGCACTGAAGCTGCAACAAATGGAAGATAAAAAAACAATCAAATAAAAGTCAAAAACTGATGTCATTCCTTTCAAAAGCACTTATTTTTCATTTATTTTGAATTAGTAGAGCATGGGATCGCATCGGTTTCACACGCAAACTACATGGCATACAAACTTGTAGAATCACCATAGAATCTAGCCTTCCTCTTAAAAAGAAACAAGTTATTTCCAAGGAATTTGAAGTTTACACTAAGACTTCCGGCGATTGACTTCTGTGAAAAGTACCGTATTTGTCTGGGACGGAAGAACAACAAATAGTAGAGTAGGAGACGGTTTGTTGGGAATGTAAACTGTCAGAGATCCCGACAGTTCGCTACCGTACTTTGGACTTGATGCCTGGCAAACACCGGTACAGGATCGAGTCCCGTTGGAGGTTCATCGTTTCTCCCACAATTCACAGTTTGCAGGACGGCACTTATCAAGAAAAAACCTTTCAAAGTTACTGTTCAGATGCTCACTTAATGGGATTTACACGTATATCATGGATAACTTCAAATACTATCGAGAAAACCGGAACGCCAGTTGGAAGGTGGGTTTTCAATTCTATTCCTAACAACTTCAAATTCGTTAAAATTAATCCACATTTTATTTATAAGTGACTAAGGTCAGAAAAAATACAAGAAAAGACATAAGAAACCGAAAATAATGCGACAAGTTGACGCGTGAGATTGCGGCGGTTTCCACAGCAAAGTGTACACTGAGGAAATGGGCGGTCAGTGGTGGCGGCAAAGGAATGTTATGAAATAATGACGTCATACAAGTTGCAGCTGCTATTGTTTTTGAAAAAAAAACAACAAAATCGAAAAATATTTACTCTCATCGCTTAGCCTTCTCAGACCACGTCAGAAAGGTCCTTCTCCTAGACAAGAAGGTGGTATTCCTAGATTAATCGTCACTTTACTTATATTAGAAGTTGTCGAGAACTTTGGGGCTGCCAGTGATTTCGATTGATACCCATGGAAGGGAGAACATGCAAGCACGTCCAATTTTCCCCTTCAGTCTCCAGTATGCTTTGATCTCATATTTTCATTCTTCCAGAATTCCGTCAGGCACAACTTATCTCTTAACAAGCAGTTCAGACGTTTAGACAAAAAAGAAGGCGAGAAAGGTTCGGAATCCGAATAACTCTTTTATTTCACTTCGATTTTTTCCCAAACTCGAACTCAGCCATTTTCCCTTTAGGATCTCTATGGGTATGTGTCAATGCACCAGAGAGGCGACTACGAATTTTTTCCCAAACTCGAACTCAGCCATTTTCCCTTTAGGATCTCTATGGGTATGTGTCAATGCACCAGAGAGGCGACTACGTTCGTTGGATGGTTCCCCACCTCGTATTAATCCGACGATTGAACGATTGTACATCAAAGGTGAACTTTTTCACAAACTGCTTGTATCAGAATGAGAATAGGAGGAAGAAAAGGCCCGGCATGCGCCACGCACTCAACTTCGGAGCCAGTATTGAAATACATACCGAATACAAAAGTGCCTCTCCAAGCCCGCTTTTTTTGGCTCGGTGATTTCATGAATATGAATAGGACTAGTTGTAAATCAAATTAAGTCAATCAAATTCATTTCTGTTCATTCCCAGCTTTCCAGGACGTCTTGCAGCACATACAACTCCGCCTACAAATGCCGGTGAGAACAACCATTCGGTTGTTGATCGCGATCAGACGAACACATTGACGGAGAAATTTCCCGAAGCACTGTTTTCAGAAGAAATGCAACTAGAGGTTTCCGATATGCAAGCAAATTGATCATTGATTATTTTGCAATTAACAAATTCAGAACGATGATGACCTCTCCGAGTTGTCCCTGTTTGCGTCTCAAGACCTATCAGCATCCTTCAAAGCTGTCTACGATCAGTTGTTTCCTAGCGATGATCAGTGTGATAAGAATAAGACGGTATCTCTAGGTTTTCATTCAAAAGTGCTCTGAGTGATCTCGTTGCTATCATAAGCTGAGAAATTGGAGAATCACTTTTAGGAAGAACAAATTGATTGGCTAAAAATTGGAATGGAAACAGCAGGTATCGACTATTCTAATGAGGATGATTTACGCAATGTGGACACCGAACGTCTCAGTGGTTAGTTCTGCAGATCTCTTGGGAACACACTTTGGCGTAACTACAACCCTGTAGTAGTTAGAGACTGAGCCACCTTCGGGCCACAAGGTCTCCTACCATACTAGACCTACTGATTGCTACCAAAAGCTTCGCTGATTGCTTTATGAGAAAATATCACCTGCCACATTTGGATTTTGAAATGGAGTTAATCGTGATTGTGGCTAGCCAACAAGTTCGACTCGTGCAGCCTGCCCCTTAAAAGCACCGTTTACGATAAAAAAGGTTATTGAGTTCTTACCTTACCAATACTCAGCGGCTCCTATGGGTTGTAGAAGGGACCCTCTCACTCCCCCAGTCTCGACGTCC